AGAGAGCCAAGGTAAGAGGAAAGTGGTAAAGATTTTGCATCAGTTTTTGGGATCCAAAATTCACATTGCAAACAAGTGTAATAGACACAAATATGGATTAAGTGCAAAGTTTGCATCCAGTTCAGATTCATGGTGTAGAAGTAAAATGATCAAGGAAAATAAGCCAAAGAGTGACACCTGGACAAGTTGAGGAACAACAATGTGTACGCCCCTAGAGCCATGTACATGACCGGCAAGCTAGTGTTGAGAAAACTTGTGTCCCACTACCAGCGAGACTCGTGAGATGAAGTAGGGATGCAAACGGCGATCGAATCTAATAGGATTCGGTTTGAATTCGAATCAGTTGAGTCTTCAAATCTGATCCGATTTGATTTATTTTCTTTAAAAAATAATAAATTATTAAAAGAAAATTAAAATATATTATTTAAATAAATTAAAAACAAAAATAGAAGTATTTTTTAATTATTTTTATTATATATATATGTTTTTATAAAAATATAAATAATATAACAAATTTATAAAAATAAAATATAAATATATATTTATAAATAAATAACATATATATATATATGTATTATATATTTATATTTATAAATATAAATATATATATATATATATATATATATATATATATTACATATTAGATTGGATCTTCTCGGATCGGATAGTGGTGATTCAAATCTGATTCGAAGATCCGAACAAGGGTGATTCGAATTCAACCAAATAGAATTGGATCGAATCATGATGGGGGTGGACCATGTTGGTGAACAGCCCTGACAGGGACCCGACTTCCCCCAACCCCACTATATATGTAAAATTAGTGAATTTCAGATGTTAAAGGTTTGATCCAATACAAACAACCTTCTTTATTCGGAGCCTCTAAAAAGTCAAAAAACAACTATATCTCTTTTCATATTTTAAACACTTTTAATATCTTGTTAACTTTTTAAATTTTAGATTTCATATTTATATTCAATTTTCAATAATCAAAATAGTCTTAGATTCCATTTTCAATTTGCTAACAAACATGCTAATTTACAAGTGAACTATTTAGGTGATGTTTGGCAACGATGATGATTTCCCATAAATCGGTGCCACTTAAGGTCTACACCAGAATATGAAGAAACAATTTTTTTTTTGGTGATTGGCTGATTGTGTTGGTTTCTGGGAAATCAGCCAAAAATCAACCATTGAAATCAGCCCTTTTCATCTATCACATTTTCTAGTGATTTCCTGAATTTTTAACTGATGCTGATTTTTTGAGGATGACATTGCATTGAATAATAACTCCAATACAAAAATAAGCTGCCCTTGAAAAATTAGTACCAAACAGACTCAAAGTCAGTTTCTCAAAAAGCAGCTTATATTAGTATAAATGATATCAAACAACAAATTTTGATGATTTTTCAAAAATCACCGATCCATAAATCACTGGTTTTTAGATAACTGGCAATGAGAAATCATCACCTAAGTCTTATGTTTGTTTGCAAGGCATGCAATTCATTTGCACTAGTAAAAAACATAATAGTACAAATTTTGGTTCACCATAAACAAACGAAATAAAGTGAATAAATCTTCCAATAGAGACTTTTAGTGTGCGATATAAGATTTAAAGGAACGTTCCAATACGAAAGAAAGGAAATAACTCCCAAATCATCCCAACTACAAACATTACATACGCAATTACAAAAGTACTACTGGGTTACTCAACAATAGAATATGAAAATCTTGCGCAATCACAAATTAAAAGTACCACTAGGTTATTGAACAATAGAATACAAAAAATCCCTTCAATAATGATAAAAGAGGACAAATCCTTGGGTGTTTGATGTCTCTCTAAGAACCAAGGTTCAAAATATTGATACACCTCGATACGGTGGAAGGAGTGTATTGATACTTTGAACCTTTCTATTTTTTAAGTTTTTTTTTTTTCAAAATTTCATAGGATGGGCTATTTTTATATACTTTATTTATTAAAAGATATTTCTCAAAATTCCTTTAAAATGGGTGTATCAAGAGTCAAAAGATATAATATAATCTACTTGATATAGGATGTATCGGATATAGATTTTGAACCTTGCTATATCAATCGGAGTGTCAATGGACTAGTTTTGGGTTGTTGAACCCCATCCAAATCAAAATCAATTTGGATGGACCAATAAGACATATTGAATTGGACCAATCCAAACTTAATGGTCCAAATTTGTTGGATTGAATTGGAACTTGTCAATCCATAATGGATTTATATTGGATTGGGTTGGATTCATTGAACCAATGTCTGGTCCATTAATGGAAGAGAAAAATATAGATGTCAACTGACTGGGTTTGGGGAGGAACCAATTTAAGTTAGAACCATTTTGAACAAATTAAACAATCTAGACATTGAATTGGATTGGTCCAAAGTATTCATCAGATTGTAGTGGACCTGGTCCATTTGTAATGGACTGATGTCAGACTGCATGGAATTGGGCCAATTCCAATCCAATTGACACAATATAAGATGTATTGTATCGAAATAATCATGACTAGCAATTTTGGTGCCAAGAGGTGAGAGGTTGAAGAGTCTTTGGGGTTGGGATTGAGATTAGGGTAATCATTTTTCACTCCACTTGGACTACACACACATATATAATGGCACATATAATATACTAGTAAATATGTATGCGCATTTGCACGTGACAGTATCTCCAAGACAAAACTATTTATAGTTCATGGGCAATTTTTGAATAGTTATAAGTTGACAGTTTCTTAACTATTATAAGTTGACAGTTTTTTGAGTGAGAGTAAAGGACATATATGCCCTCTTTATGCCTGTTGTATGCTGCTTAGATAAGGGGTAGAAATTGTCCAATGAAAATTCTATAAAAAAAGAGACATTCACTCTTTTATAGGTAGTATCGATTATGTATAATATTTTATATTTACACAAATTATAACATATATATTATATATCTAATAATATTAGTGTAATAGCATGTTCTATGCATGTGTGCGAATAAGCATTAACAATATATAATATATAGTCTAAGGAGTTGACTTTTATAACCTGTATGAAAAAAAAAAACCTTGGAGCCAACAATCAAAATAGCTTTTTGTTTGTCAAGTTCTTAAAAATGTTGACTTGCTTAGACTTACCTCGTTTTATATATGTGTCGATATTTATTGTTGTAAGTATTTGGATGTAAACCATCTTTAAAAGATAATTTAATTTTTTTGTTTAGTTTTTATGTAAATAGATCAAATAATTGACTCCTGTTGTTGCCAAATACGGAGCCGATGGGAACAACATAATTTATAATGTCTGAGGCCGATGGATCCAACATGTTGAGAGAAATAAGACATTAGAGGCCCCGGGAGTTACCTCGGGGCAAAGATTCCGATGGTCAAATTAGCTGAGAGCTTTGAGGGGTCAGATCAAGCAAGAGAGGAAACTGAAAACTTAAATCTGTGTATCTCTAGTCTTTATTTCAATGTGAGAACCCTTTTATAGCTGAAGTTGCCTTAGAAAAAGGGATAATCGATAATAAGTAACGACAATTGGCAGTGGTTGATGATGGATGGCCAGAATGCATCCAACCAATGCCACGTATCACGATCCACAGCTTAGCTAGATATCCCTACATCAGCTCCAATGATGAAACATTCGACTTATGATCCAATCACCAAAACGGTTCCTTATTCTGCCATAGTCTTGTGATACTTATTCATCAACGTGATCAAATTCAAGAAAACGAAATTTGGATTTTCATTTTCTATCTTTATATCAAAGAAATACAAAAAAAAGAGAGAATCTTCAGACCAATTAAGAAAACAAAGGGAAAATTTATATATTTTTTCATAAAAAAAAATTTGTTTTTTTGGTGGTTAGGAAATATTTACGAGACATAGTGACCAGATCATATTATCAAGTATCAGTAAACCTTATTGATATTTATAATTTACAACTGAAATTCTAAAATCAACCTCATGTATCAAATATTAGTACACTCTACTAATTTACTGGACAATAGGACCACCAAAACCGGGAACCAACAATCAGAATGGCCTTTCGTTTGTCCCTTCTTGACTATGTTGACTTGCTTCCAAAGTTAAAATCACCACTTTTACAATTTCTTAATATTTATTGTTATATTATAAGTTCATTTTGATGTAAAATACTTTAATTGACAATCTACTTTTTTTTGTTTTCTACTTTTATTTAAGTCCAATAATTGACTCCATGGTCGAACCAGTCCACGTGGGGATGCAAAAATAAAATTAAAATATAAGGTATAAACCCTGTTTGGGAGTACTTATTGGATCAATAAGTGATTATCTTAATAATGTTTGGTGAAAAAGTGCTCTTTCAACTGGGGGTAGTATAGGTGTTTTTCAAAATTATGTGGCCGGTTAAGATGGGTCAGAAATTCAAAAAGTGCTTGAAAAACCCAAAATTTTGAGCTTATCCTAGATGGGTTAGATCTTGAGTTGAGAAATCGCTAATTGAGGTTTATTTCCCAAATGCATATAATGACATGAGTGCTTATTGGTGTGTTCATGTCTAAAATAATCATTTTTTTCAATAAATGCTTAAAAATAAGCGCATTCAAACGGCGACTAAATTTAAGTATTTTTTTTTTTTTTTTTGTGATAAAAATATTTCTGATTTTTTTTCCAGTAAGAAAATATTTCTGATACGATTCCATAGAAATACCTGATTGATTGTGTCCGAAGGCTAAATGCCTAAATATTCGAAGATAAGCACCGTACTGGCGATCTCACTGTATTATACTGAGCGTGTCCGATCAAATGGCTAGGGTGGTATCTAATCACCGAATTCCATGGAGGGCCGATCCAAATCAACAGTAGTCAGTAGTCTCCACTATCCACCATGCTGGCAAGAAAGTTCGTTTCACGAGATATTGTCGATAAATTGGCGATATTAGGACATAATATATCGATCCATCCTGATTTCTCGTTTATCACATCCCGGTAAGATTCGTTTTGTTTCTTGAGGGCCTCATTTTTTTATCTCGGTCTCTCTCATACACACACTCTCTCTGCCTCTCTTTTCTCGGAAAGAAAGAAACCTTTCACTGTTACAGTGTAGGGTTTCAGTTCTCTACCTCCTTCGTCCCTAGAAATCGAAGGAGCAGAAGACGAAAACCCAAAACCCTAACTCGGTAACGTGCTCTGACTTCTATACAGCCCCCTAATTGCGGTCGAATCGATTTATTGTCGTCTGCCTCGTCTCTTCATTTCTTGAATGCCGTCTACCGTTCACAGCTGAAAGTCTTGGTTTCACTGCTCAAATCTATGGAGAAATCGCCCGTTTACGCAGGATATCGTCAATGCTCTTCTCTGCGATTAGAGCGGCTGTGACGAGAAGGTAAAAGCGATCATCAGTTGTTCCTATTCCTTTGTTTGGATATTTTGTGGTCCGATTATGGAATTTTTAAAGTAGAGTAGGGGAGTCAAATGTGGTCTACCTTTCTCCATCTTTCTCCATCTTTCTTCTTTAATTTTTTTCCTTCTTTACTCTGTTTGATTAGGGATTGAAGATTGCTTTTTTGAGCTTCTCTGAGGTTTTTTCTGTTTATCTCTCAATGTTGTGAGTTGGAAGAGAAGAGGAGAGCCATGGAAGGAGACGAGCGGCGCCTTGTTCTGATGGCATGCGTTGTTTGCGGGACGCTATTCTCCATCTTGAGTTCACTTTCATTTTCTGTACTTTGGTCTGTGAATTGGCGGCCATGGCGACTTTATAGGTATGATGTACTTTCTTTCATGTGGGAGGCTTAGTAAATAATTGAGCTCATGATCGTGCAAATTTTCATGCTTGACACCCTGTTCTAGTCAACAATCGTACACATTCGAAATGCCATTGTTTTAGTTGCGTATGAGTTTGATTCAGTTTCGTTCAGATCAATTTCATGGCTTCATTTATAACTAATCGTCTGCTTTTCCTGTTCTTATTTACAACTGTACATGCAAACCATTTTTATAAATATTTACTTGCTTATGGGGATTTTTTTTTTTATTTTTTTTTTTGGGATAAGTTTTTCTTACGAGGATGTGCTGCATTTATCAGTATTCTGATCGTGGAGTGTTAGGCTGGAAATAATTTCAGGTGCCCCTTTCTGGGTTGATTTATATTGATGGATTCTTTTTGTAGCTGTCCTGCGTTATGTCCAGGCTTATGTTGATTTTTTATTTCAGTTCTGTTTAATTATTACGGATATAGACAGAAAATGTTGAATAAGCACCTGATCTTCATTCTTAGATGATAGCCAGACAAGACAATGACCTTTTTTAACATAGTTGCCTTGCTGGATTGAACTCAAATGCTCCAAAACGGTTGGTCTTACAATTATTTCCTTCATCGCCGAAACTTTGATTACTATTGCCTTTGATGGATAACCCATCCCCTCTCTGCTTTATCTATGATAAGAGAAAGGTAAAATATACATGTTTCTTGGTGATTAAAAAATATGTAACTTCCTAGTAAAAGTTAAATGTTAGTTTCTTTGCCATTTTGTAATAATTTCCACTGTTTTGGAAAGTAAAGAGCACAAATATCTTCTAAGACAGGTCTCTTGGATGAAGAGTCAAGGAAGAAGAAAGTGCCCCAAACTGTCAACCCTTGATAATTTTTTTGGTAATAAATAAAAAAGAAAACTTTATTAATAGAAAAGGAAAATGCATCGGCAAGGGTGATGAAGAACTGCCATAATCTTCTTACATACAAGCCACAAAAGAAAATACAACCAAATGGATAACCAACATAGCAAAACTAGCGATAACCAACATAGCAAAACTAGCTTCTTGACTCCAATTCAAGAATAGACCAAAAACTAGCACCAAGATCTTCCTCTGTGTCTCCTTCAAATTCTGGGAGGTAAGCATCCAACCAATTATTCTTTTCCCACATAAGAGAGCAATTTTATCTCTTCCTTGAGCCTTGTCTTCAAAGATCCTTCTGTTTCTTTCTTTCTACACTTAAGTAAATGACAAAAGGTGTGCAGCTCCACACTATCTTTGCCTTGATATTACCTCTAATTGTAAGCCAATGAGCAAAAATGTCTGTTGGAGTCCTCGATTCCACCATATTAGTTTTGAAGAGTCCAAAGAAGAATCACCATATGAATTTCGAAAAGGGACAACCAAAATGTAGGTGTAATACATTCTCTTTAGAAGCTTCACATAATTAACATCTTGCAGCAAACTGTATACCCCTACTTTGAATACAATCCAGTGTCAGAATATTGCCAAAGCTGCAATCCAAGCAAAAGCTTCCTCCCTAGGTGGAATAGGATTTCCCTTAACTCCTTTCACCTCCGATCTCTCTGCTTGATTCCTTAATAAAACCTTGTGGAAAGATTTAGCAATTCCTTCCATCACCTTAATTCCCCCCCATCCACTTGCATCTCAATTGATAGTAATTTTGAGAGCAAATCCACTCCCCAAGCTCCCAATCCAAAAAGGGTATTCTGAACTTTGGACACCACACCACCCTTCCTTGAATCAATTCAAAATTCTCTACAATAGAGGTGATATTCTTGCTTAACCTCAGGAACGGGGTGGGTTTGGGGTGGAAACTATACTCCTTGTTCCCGTCCCCCGTTGTTGAATAACCCTCCACCCCCAACCCTGACCCTCGATGGGGAGAAAAATTATCCCCCACTCCAACCTCGGTGGGGGTCCTGTCTCTAACGGGGACTTGATTCCTGATTTTTTTTTCCAGTTATAAGCCTATTGGATGCCAGTCACATTGCTGCTGAACAACCTAACTAGAAGGGGAGGACAACATGAACCATTTGGTTGTTGTGCTGCTAGTTGGTGGTTGTCGATGGAAGATGCCACTGCAATGCTAGTGAACGGGGGACTTAGGGAAGAGAGTGGGGATTGGATTAGATTGTCTCATGCAGTCATGCCAGTTTTTGAGTTCCACTGTGGTTTTCAATTTAGGAGAGGTTGGAGGTGGCACGCCAACATCACAACAAGTGAGGTGAGTTGGAGGCGGAGGGCTGAAAGGTAGAGGCTAGGTTTCCTTTCCACTTTGAGGGAAGTGGATTAGTGGTTACGACTTACGACTGTGATAAGTTAGGGTAAAGGGTTCTAACTTTTAAGTTTTTTACTCTTTTTTTTTTTTTACAAAAATGCCGTCTAATGATAACAATACCACTATAATCTTATTCGGTTTATGGGTTTTGATGTTTTGTCATTTGGAACTTTGATTTTAAGTTTTAAGACTTTTGAAATATTCATTAAAAAATAATAAATGAGAGTTAATGAATTATTAGATCATTAAATGACGGTGGGCATTGGCACAATTGTTGTGTTGCTACATTGCGACTTGGGTGAGTAAGGTTCAAATCTTGAAGATAGCCTCTTTGTATGTGCAAGGGTAAGGTTGCGTACATCTATCCCTCCCCAAAGCTTGCATTGGCAGGAGCCTTGTGCACTGGGCTTCCCTTTAGTTATTAGATCATTAAATAATAATTAATAAATAACAAATGCATTTTTGTAATTTTATAGAAAGTATAAATATATTTAAAATTTAATATATATATACCGACCTCGATCGGGTAGCTTAAATTTTTCCCCATGCCTACCTAAGCAACCTCCATACCCAACCTGATTGGGTTGGAGATGCCAAGTACCTTGTGGGCACGAGGAAATTGCCATACCTACTTAATCTATATAGATGCGAGCAGCTGGGCACAAATCACAAAATTTTCCAAACCCCACCCAATTATCTTCGAAAAATTTTATTCTCAAACCATTCCCGACCTTGAAGGAAACAAAATCAAGAAAGGCTGACTGAAAACTCATTATTCCTTTCCAAACACATACTCCATAAGAAGACTTCACCTCCTTAGTAGCCCAACCAAGGTCCAATATGAGAGTCAACCTTGAAAAGAGTAGTGAAGCAGGGGTGAATTTGGAAAATAGTGTGGTAGAAGCTATTGCTTGATGTCTAGAGTGCTCTATCTCTACTTGGCCTTTGATCTACTTGGGACTTCCATTAGGAGCAAACTCTAGGGAGAGTAGCTTTTGGTGCTTGATTGTGGAGAAGTTTGAAAAGAGATTGGCTTTGTGGAAGAAGAATTATATTTCCTTGGGAGGTAGAATCACATTCATTAGAGTCACCCTTGCTAACCAACCAACCTATTTTCTGTCTGTCTTTAGGGTTCCTTCTAGGGAAGCTAATAAACTAGAGAAATTGATGAGGAATTTCCTTTGGGAACCGGGGAAAGGTAGAAGGATCATCTTTTAAAGTGGGAGGTGGTGTGTAAAAGCAAAGAAGAGGGAGGCTTGGGAATAGGGAATATTAGGCAAAAGAATGCGACACTTTTGGGGAAGTGGTTGCAAAGGTGGCCTCTAGAAAAAGAGAGATATTGTTGCATGAGGTGGTAGGCATGGTCACTCAGAGAACGGGTGGTATGCTGGGGGTATCTTGGAGGGCAACTTTGGCAACACTTTGGAAGGCAATTCATAGTATTCTCCCCCAACTTCACAATTTTATCAGGTATAATGTGTGTAATGGTAATTCAGTTCACTTTTGGGAAGATACATGGGTTGGAAAGGCTCCTTTGAAGGACCTCTTTCGGTCATTATTCACTTTATCTCAATATAAAAAAGAGCCTGTGCCAAAATTCTTCCCTCCTGGAATCTCCTTTGGCACCAAGTTGGGGCTTTGGGTTTTGTAGAGGTTTAAGGGATGAAGAGATTGAGAGTCTAACCGGCCTTTTGAGTCTTCTTGAAAAAGTTTGTTTGGATCCTTCTGAGCCAGACAAAAGAATTTGGAAATCTTTGCCCTTGAGTCAGTTCTCTTGTGCTTCCTTCTTCAAGGCCCTTTGTTGTTCTGAGTCTCAACAAGTTTTCCCTTTTAAGGAGGTTTGGTGCAGGCCTATTCCCCTAAGGTCTTGGCATTCTGTTGGGAAGTGTTCTATGGGTAGGTAAGCATCCTGGATAATCTACAAAAGAGATGACCTTATCTTTGTTAAGCATGCTATTTGATCCGTCGACCTTTGCTTGGCACCAATGAAGAGGAAGAATAATGTGAAGGTGTGCAAGAATGGGTTTGCTCTGGACAGCGTGGGAAGAAAGGAATGCCAGGATAGTCCAAGAGAAGAAGAGAAGCAAACACGAATTAAAAGGACTGTATCTTGCATAGAGCTAATCTTATGGCCAAAATCTTTGGACTTATTTCATCAGTTCTCTTTTAATGATCTTTGGAGGCATTGGGCAGCAGTGGCAAGTAGCTTCTCTAGGAAGAATAAGGTGTATATGAGCTGGGCACCCCCCCCTGAAGTATTTATGAAATTAGATTTCGATGGCAGCAGTCAAGGTAACCCAGGTCCCTCTGGGATGGGAGGGGTTATAAGGAATGAAAGTGGTAATGTGGCTCTCTTGTACTCCTGCCCTGTAGGTGTGGGGGACTCCTCTGGGGCAGAATTACTAGCTGCCCTAAGGGGTACAGTTTGCAGTATATCTAGGAGTGCAACAGCTACTAATAGAGGAAGACTCCAAGGTGGTGATGGGGTGGCTACAGAACCCAGAGGGGACAAGCAACGGGAAGATCTTTTTCCTGTAGATCTCATAGATATTGATTTCCAGACGTATAACCTCCCACCTTATTTGGTCCACTCCACATTGATTTCTTGGGAAAGGCCAAAAGGGGGGGGACTAAGGTTCTGATAATGTTTTGAAAAAAGAAGCACAAGTGAAAGAACCAGGAGCAATTTGGGACCAAATTCTGCAATCAAGTTTAGGATTATCAATGTAACCCCTTTCTAGAAACTAACAGAGCTAATGACCTGATATACTTCTAGATCCTTAATGGCTCTTCTTAACTCTAAATCCCAAGAAAGCCCTTTTTTAAAGAAGGAAAGACAGTGAGATAGGTTTCTACTTACAGACTAAACTCCTGTCATTTGTTGCTTAGTTTCTTTTTATGCTTTGAGTGTAATTTGTTGTTGGGCCATGATTCATTTTTATTTGTGGTTGATCTTTTTGGTTATACCATTATTTTACAGGTAATTTGAATGATGCATTATAATTTTCATTTGTGCATCATATTATTGAAATTGAAACATGGTGTGGATTTTGAAGGTTATTGTACCACATTTGATGTGCATCTTTGACTTCTTTGACTAGTGATCTTCCATTTCTTATTATTGCTATAAGTATTTTTAATTGTTATTCTTTGCTTCACACCTGGACATTTTATAAATCTGTTTCTACCAGTCTTGTATCTCCTTGAATTTTCATATAACGTTTCTTTCATCTGTGTCTTACCTGCTGTTTAGTGCCAGTATTGCTTATTTATTTGTTATTTTGCCTTCTTTGTGCATTTCCAGTTGGATCTTTGCTAGAAAATGGCCAGACATTTTGCAAGGACCTCAATTAGGTATAATTTGTGGTTTCCTATCGTTGTTTGCATGGATAATTGTTCTTTCTCCAATTGTGGTACTTATCATTTGGGGGAGCTGGTTAATTGCAATTTTGGGTCGAGATATTATTGGATTGGCTGTGATAATGGCTGGCACTGCTCTTCTGTTGGCATTTTATGCTATCATGCTTTGGTGGAGAACACAATGGCAAAGCTCAAGTATGTACTGCTCTTGAACTCTTCTACCTTAAGGATCAAAGTTTATTGCATCCCCTTCCCCACCAAAAATAAAATAAAAAAACTCACTCTTTAATTCATTTGAATTATAGGTGGTGATGATCATCATATTAGTGATTGTTATGAGCTTCTCTTATTCCCAATAAAAATGCTATTTCTTTGATGTACCATGTAAGATGTCTTTACAAAGAAAGAATGCCTGGGTTGTTGTTGATTTATAATACAGTTATAAGCTATAAATTGAGCACTTGGTTTATTTGTTCTTTTGCTTTTGTATTCAGTGCTTAAGTTCAAGAATAAACCTGGTTTTCAAAGACTATTTAGTATTTATAGATGACCGTCTGTTCTCTATTTCTTTATTTTCTTGCATGTTTCTGTCATTGTTTCCCTTGACCTCCTTTTCATCCTCATATCAAATGTTCCATTTTCTCCTGTTACATGTTAATTGTAGCTAGTTTTGAGTTAGGCTTGGTATTGTTGTTTCATTTCTGTTTATCTTGGTTTCCCCAATAAATCTCCAGCCAACTGCACACTGAAGTATGGGTTTCTTTTTTCTCTATCCTTTGTTGAATCTGATTTTCAGAAGTATAGCTTCAAAGAGCTCGTAGAATATATTGAGAATGGAATAAATGTCAGAGAAGACTTGTTGCTTTGATGGTGATCAGATATGGAAAGCTGTTATGTTGTATAGAAACTTACAAAAGTAGGTTCACCCATTGACAATTTTAGATCTCTTTCCGTAGCCCAGGGTGGAATCATTTGAGACCTTGTAAGGAAGCAATTATCTCCACCCTACAGGAAAGTGCTTAGCTTATCTAAGAAAACAAATGATTTTCGACCGTCTTTTAGAAAATCACATCCTCTCTTTTGGGGTTAACTTCAGTGTCCTCCCTACCAATAGTTTGGGTGTTCTATTCTTTTGTAGATTCCCCCAAGCTTTGCACTGGGCAATCACAAATTTGCCTACACATTGTTTGTATGCATGAATGACCAAGATTTGAACTAATCCCAATCATTCAAGTAATCTTTGAAAAATTCTAGAAAGCCACAGAAAGTGATGTACCAAATAACACAAAAAATCTGGGTCATCAAAATGCTGTCCTAAGATTAGTCAACTAATAACCATCTAAATGATGTGCCAAGATTTCATCTAATCTAGCTCATCCAATTGATTTGCCCAATTATAACCCAAGGATCTAAGCCTCAAAGTATTGTACTGATGCATGCATATCTCTGAAAAATATCCTGACAATGTTATGTGACATATGAAATGAAGATAAGATCTGGACCATCAAAATGATCTCCTAAAATCAATCAATTATTGTCAGCCCTCCGGATGATGTACCAAGATTTCATCTAATCTAGCTCATCCAAATGATGCATCAAATCAATTTGAAGAATGGTGGAAAGAGAGTTCTGGACTGGGAAGGAGTGTACAGTGCTGTTTTCTATAGTTAACAACGCATTCAAAACAAGGTGACCATTGTTGGACTGGGAAGGAGTGTACAGTGCTGTTTGTTATTGACTAGAGGCTATTAGGGGGGTTGGGGGGGGGGAGTAATGAGCCAGATGAGAGATGGTGGAAAGAGAGTGCTGATGGAAAGTTCATTGTTAATCATTTTATGGGAGACTTATGAGAAGTTTGGGGGAAGGAAATAGTATTTCTGGGCTATGGATTTATATCATAGCTGAGAGTGGAAAGCATTGGCATGGCTGGTTGCATTTGATGGTATTTGGACTCTTGATCACTTGAAAAGTAGGGGCTTTAATTTTCCAAATAGCTTTGTCATGTGTGAAGAGGAGGAAAACATTTTATGTTTGCTTTGCAAATGCAGTTTCGTGGATTTCATTTGTGGGTTCTACTTCCAAATGTTCAAGAATCAGAAAATGGAGCTGACTGAAGTATTTGCACTTTGGCCTATGACCAGTGATAGCAAGAAGCTGAATATATTATGGAGTGTAATTCCATTTGCAGTGTGTAGGGGAGTTCAGAAAGAGAAGGATAGGTAAAATTTTGAAGACAAATGCATACAAGGACAAAATGCCGGCAGATATTTGCTCAATAATGGCAGGGTATAAATACTTTAAAGATGTTAATTGAAGGGATCTCCGGTCAGAGTCATGGTTATTGGAATCTGAAATGGGAAATCAATAATTTATTTCGTGGTTTTCCTCATGGTTCTTGATATTTGGTCAGTTTATGCAAATCTATTTTGGTGAAAACTCTTCACCGACTTTGTTATTATCCTTGTTCTTTAAATAAAATTTTCTTTCTTTAATATAAGAGGTTCAGTGCCATTCAAATTACTTATCAAATGAACTTCAAAATCTAAACCCTTAAAGTGGTCTCCTATAGCAGTGGGTTAATTCATCCCCCAAATTGTTGCATGAAGATTTTAGCTACAATCTGGCGTGTTCTAAATCCATCTTGGTACATAATTTGGGTGACCGAGATTAATTCACTAATCTTAGGAAGCAATTTGATGATTCTAATCTTATGTTTTATATACATTGTACATGGGCCATGGCTGTGATTAATTTAGTTCTCTTAGGAGATCATTTAGATAGCATAGATTCTTTGTTTGTTTGGTTTATTATTTTGATGACCAATATTTAGAAGTGTAAATTGGGCCGTGCCGCCCGTGGCCCGACACGATTTTGAGTCGGCCTGACCCGATGGTCCATGGGCCGTGTCGCGGTCCAGCACGATTGTATGGGCCGATGGGCCATGTTGGGCTTAGGGTTTCAGGTTAGCGGGTCGGGCCGGCATGGCCCGCACTGTCGTGCCGTTCTGCTCGTGGCCCACAGGCTGGCATAGCCCGACCCAACCCATATATATTATATATATTTATATATATAAATATATATAATATTTATATATTTAATATATTTATATATAATATATTAATCAAATAATCATTTTTTTCAATTTTATTTAATTATTGTATATATAAGCAATTGTATACATCAAAATTCATATAAAATTAAAATTATAAGATTTTTTTTTTCAATTTTTTAAAATAAATAACTTTGGCCCGGTGCATGACCTGGCCTAGCACTAGTGTTGGGCTGACCCCCCAAAATATTGGGCCTGTGCATGCTCGGGCCATGGGTCGTGTTGTGCTGACCCCCAAAATGTCCCAAGGGATGGAGGTGTAGGCCGTCCCGACTCGGCACTTTGCACTGGCTTTGCCGTGCTGGCCCAACATGACCTGTTTTACACCTATACCAATATTAGTTGAAATCTTTGTACATCACTTGGATGATGAAGAACAATTCATTGTTATAAAGAGAAGATTTTGATTTTAAAGAAACAGGTCAATATGTCGATGGTGATGAACAGAGACGGTGAAAAACGTCGTTGAGTGATGACAATATCCAATATTTTCCACTCAAAGGTGATGAAGAAAACCGGTTTTTTGAAGGGAGGGGGAAGAAGATGGGGAGTGGAGGCATTGTACAACCTAGGTTGGCTGGACCCCAGACTTAGAAGTAACTTCTCCTTTAGGAAGACAATAGTGATGGGGGTTTGGCCAAGCTTTGAAGCAACATTTCTAAGAAGGATAGGGGAAAGGCAATTTATAGAAACATCGAAAGATGGGGTTTTTGCTAGAAGGAATTCCTAAAGGGTTACTTAGTGGACTGTTTTGACAGGAAGCTTCTAGTGGAAGAAGTGGAGTATTGGGCAGCAAGGAGCTGGGGAGAAGTGGGAGGGTAAAAAAATTAATCAAAGATTTGTTTCTCTTCATCTTTCTGTTGAAGGAAGAGGTAGATTGGGTTCTTAACAGTTTGTGGAGTGTTGGACAAATTGGACTGGCACTAGACTGGTGAGCGGAAACAACCGATAGTTTTTTGTCGGAAAGAAAGGGGATATCCAACAAGTATAAGGAAGTTTGGATTAAAGTGTTTGGTTTACCATTGCTACTTTGGTGCCCAAGTGTGATGAGGAGATCGGAAACCACTACAGGGGCTTCCTAGGGACAGATGACTCAGTTGAAAAGCTGAGGACCTGCAAATGGGTGAGTATTAAAGAGAAAGTGGGGGAAGAGATCCCAAAGAAAGTGGAGATTGTGCTAGGGGGTTGCTCGTTCTGGGGTTTGGATTTGGCAGGAAAAGTGTCCATTGGTGGAGTTGAGAGAGAGGAGTAGGAAGGGGCAAAAGGAAATGGGCTTGGGAAAGAAGTAGAGGAGGATGAATCGAAAGTAAGTGGAACCCTGGTTTTGGTCGAGGAGGAAAACAATAGTTTGGGGAGGCCAATGGAGAAAGGGGATGACCGAATGGAGAGTGAGATTCAAATTTTAAATACCAAACAAGGTTGGGTGGGCTTTTCAAAAGTTTGGCTAAAAGAGGCCCTTTTGGAATGTCTAAAAGAACTGGACTTGCTACCAGTTGGAAAGGGGGCCAAAAAGCGGGGGGCTAGGAGAGGGTAGGAGATTTGGGAAGTGACACAACACCTAGAGGACATAAGGTGGCAAGTGGGGATAATAGGAAGGGAAAGTATTCAGTTGGGCTGGGTAATTTGAAAGAAGTTCATGTTCACTTGGGTCTAGACTCAAACCAATTGACCTTGGTGGGGGTGGACCTTTAGTATTAGAAGGTCCAAATTGGTTAGTTGCCCTGTCCCAACTTCCTATCAAAGAGAGGAGGGAATCCAATTGAGGTTTTGAGAGTGGAAGGCAGAAAGAGCAGGGGAGCTGGGCAAGAGCTTTAGGGCAACAAAACATTTCTCAGTCGAAGAAGACACCACAAAAGTTGTGTGTAGAGCAAGTGTGATTGATTTGCCGCTTTCTGAATTATTTAATCAGATTTGGAGCCTGTGGAAGTTACACCCCTGGTAGTGGTGAAAGATTTGGGAATTCTAGTTCCAACATCTCAAAACTCAGACAAGGACGATATGAGCTAGGTGCATACGTTGCCATTGGGTAGAGAGGATGGGTGCAGTGTAGGGTTAGAGCTTTATGAGGTGAATATGGAGGGGTTGA